TCAATGAAGTGGTGAGAGAAAGATATATTATTATATCTGCTTTAATTCTCCTAATTTATTGTTTGGTCCAAAGTGAAAAAGTATTGGAAAGTAGCCTGTTCCATCCCTGCTCTGAGGTTAACACAGGAAACAGGTCTACTTTTTTTGGACATCAAACCAGGGCCCAATACCGTCAACAGGCTGTGAATTTCTCAGTTTGCTTTCACTCATAGCAGACAGTGTACAAAGAATTTTCTTCACATAACCAGATAAACACATAGCAAAATGTTTAGTGTGATTGCCAAGAAAAATGGCAAAAGAAATGAAAAAAATTTTTTCAGAAAAGAAACATCAAAATAGTTGGAAATAGACCTCATTACACATTGTAGGACAATAGCAACTCACATTTTATAGTATCTAGGGTTCTTTTTATTTCCTCCAGATAGTTCTTTGTATGTTACAAAGGGTCTTCAATTTACCATGGATTACATCTCAATAAACACACTGTAAACTCAAAATACATGAGAATAACTTTTTTAAAACAATAGGGAGATGGAATCCAGGACCTCCTGCACATTAAGCAAGTGCTCTACCACTGAGCTACATCCCCAGCCTCCAAGAACAATTTTAAATAGAAACAACTTAATTTTATTCCAAGTATGTACATAGTAATGCCTGCTTTTCCACATGCTCGTGAAGAGTTTTATCTCTCATATTTTCTCCTCTAGCACATAGTGCTGCCTTAAAGTGCTCCCCTCTACATTACAGCAATAAATTTATAAATTTTTCTTTGTCCCTTCTGTAATTGTTTCTCCCTTTTTATGATTACGTAGAATTCAAATGCCATCCTTATAAATGAAATCAAATGGAGAAATTTTTATTTACTAGTAGGCCTCCTATTTCTGGAGAACTCTTCTAATTCGGGTCCTTTTGAAGAATGGGAGTTCGTGGAAGAGGGTGAAAGCAAGAAGAGCTCTTCTTGAGGCTAGGGACGATTTCACTGATTTTAAAAAAAGGAAGAGAAGAGAGAAGCAAGAAAGAAGGGTGTAATGAGGAAATAGTGAAATGTTAGTACTACATTTGTAATTTGTACCTTCTATAGCTTACTAAAATCTTTACTAGGTACTTTTTAAAAACCAGTGAAAGTGTTTGATGTGATGAGTGGATTAGTTGTAGACAGTAAGATTGAGGGAATTAAGAGTGATGGAAGGAAAGAGAAAAAAATGTGCCAATATTGTGAAGTGAGGGCCTGGGTTTGATTCTCAGCCTTGCTAAAAAAAGAAAAGGAAAAAAGTCCCAATGAAGCAATGAAGGCAAAGAAAAGCAAAAGTGTGTGTGTGTGTGTGTGTGTGTTCAGTCACATTAAGTACATTCATATCGCTGTGTGGGTAATTAGCTTTCAAGTCTGGCCTTACTATGTTTTAAGAAATAATTATTTGATATTTTGTTCCTTTTAAATGGGAACAAAACTTGCCAGGGATATAAGTCAATGGAATATAGAACTCCAAAGTGTAATAGGAATAACTTTGCTCAACTTTGTGACTTAAAGGGGGAGGGAGGTAACAGGTTAAGGGAACAAGTCACTTTGCCTGGCCAAAATTTTGAAAGCATAGGAGTGAAAGTTTGCCACCTACAGGTCAAAAGAAAGAAGACATCTTTAGCTTTTTTTTTTTTTTTAATTCATTAAGTTTATTGATACATTTTAAGTATACAATATGATGACATTCATCATTGGGAATTTGTACCCTTACATAATATATCTTGGTTTTTATATTTTCCCCATTCCCCTGCCCTCTCTTCTAACCCTCCCTAAACACTTTGTTTCTTTTTTTTCCTTTTCTCATATTTTTCCTTTTCTTTCCCTACTCCTCCCACTTCCCTTTCCTCTTTGGGTATCATGCTTCTTTTATTTATTTTATTTTATTTTATTTTTTTGGTACCAGGGATCAAACTTGGGTCCTTGCGCTTGCAAGGCAGGTGGTGGAACCACTGAGCTAATTCCCTGGCTGGGCTTCATCTTTCTATTTCATATTATCTAGTCTACATTTTGATCCTTATTTACACTTTCAGTTTCTCATGCCAGAGAAACTATTTGGTCTTTGCACATGTGTGTCCTATTTATTTCACTTGAGTATGGCCTCAAGGTCCATCCATTTAGCATGAATGTCTCTAGTTTCTCATTCTTTGTGACTCAGTAGTATTCCATTTTATAAAAATACCATGTCTTCTTTATCCAGTCACTAGCTGATGGGCAATTGGACTGTTTCCAAGATTTAGCTATTAGAAATTGTGTCACTATAAACACTGGTGCACATATATCACTGTGGTATGATTTTTCAAAATTCTTTTGGGAAAATACCCATCAGGGGAATAGCTGGGTCAAATGTTATTTCTTGACAGCAGCCATTCTTTCTGGAGTGAAATGGAATCTCAGTGTTGTGTTCATTTGAGGAGCAAAGCTTTGAGTAAATGAAACAAGCGTGTTTTAAGAGACTTCTTGAGGAGAATGACTCAATATAACACAGGAAGACTTTTATAAAATGGATACTGCAACAGGGACTTAGATGCCAGGACTGCAGATGCCCAGGGGTTAAATGTAGGAAAGGTCTCTGCCTTCATTTTATGTCTCCTTATTACCTGAAAACTTTGTGCTAGGTCCTGTTCAGCTCTATGTGTAGGCATATTAATCACCCAAGGAGTGTCTGTATTATGTTTTATTAGCCCCGAATTTACCTAGTTCATCTCATCTTCCTTCAAGACTGAACACCAAGGTATGAGGTAATTTTTAGGAGCTGTCATCTTATGATGGGAACCAAATTGCGCCCCCTCAGTGATGATGGCTCTCCTAGGACCTCATGGAACAAGTCCTCAGATATTGATCAATGAGACCACGAACTGACTAGGATCATCTAGTGCCAGCTCTGCAAAGCCTCAGCTATGCAAATCTTCAATTCTTTCCTTTGTTTCTCTCTTCTATAAAACCCCAGTTTCTGACAGCCCCTCAAAGATAGAACTTGAACCTCTTTATCTGTCCTCCTGGCATAGTCATGCTGATTAAAGCTCTTTTCTTGCCTTTCACCACAGTTCATCTCCTTGCTGAACATTATGGGGCCATGTCTGAGCCTAGTCTATTGGGACCCCACAACCTTGAACCTGGGCTCCAGTAACAACATTGCCTTCCTTGTCTGAATTTTTAGTGTAACAAGTTTCTACTATATTCTTTTCCCATTAATATACCATATGCTTTTTTCATTAGCACTATGATGGCAAAAAAATGTAGAATGCTGAACAATATGAATTTGTAATGAGAAAGGCATGTAAAAGTTTCTTAGTAACTGAGACCACGCTATCTCTTTTTCTGTTAGTATTTCCTCCCATGCTAAGAATTATGGGCAACAGAAACCCTCTAATGATGTTGGGACAACTGAGTAACCATTTGGAAAAGGTTTGTTCTTAACTCATATAGTATACTAAAATAAACTCTAGATGCATTAAATATTTAAACATAAAAGATAAATAACACCATAAGAGTAATAACAGACTACATAGATGATTGCAAAAAGATCTTTGAGTTGGGAAGTCCTTTCTAAACAATACCAAATGAAGAAAATAAAGATACTTTGCAAAAAAAAAAAAAAAAAAAA